TAGGAACCACAATTTTGCTTTGGCAGAATATAGAAAAGCTGGTGGACAAAAACTTGTATAGCCTAAAGATACTCGCTGAAACACTATACATGACTGTCTTAAAGTGCATATTGCAAAATTGGTCAACTCTGCTAAAAATCTGGGAGTCTAACCAAACCATAATTGACATTACAGTGCAACAAAATGTCTCTATTTTAGTCATTAAAAGATCTGTAGAAGATCTACTTGCTCGCTTAGAACCTATTGCTTTTGCACTTGATAAAGCACAGAGTGACTAATGTAAAATAACAGATGTAGTGGAAGTATGAAAAAATCTAGAAAACAAACTTTAATGTAAAAGTGAGAAAGTTACCTGAAAAAAATTCAAAAAAAGATATGAAAAGGCAGTGATACCATCCCATTTTCTGGCTAATCTTCTTCACCCTCATTACCAAGGTAGAATGTTGAATGAAATTGAAAAAAATACTGCATTGGAATATGCCAATCTACAAAACCCACATACTATTCCTAGAATTATGAAATTTAAAAGAAAGTTATACCCATTCCTGGAATTTAAATTAAGCTTAGAGGTTTTAACAGCATTATCGTCTGTTCAGTAATGGAGATCACACATAATAACATTGAAAATAAATCATTAAATACAATTTTGCAATTGATGACTGAGGTAACTTCATCTGCAGGAGTTGAAGGTGTGTTCTCCTCTTAGGGTTTGGTACTTCAAAACTAAGAAATAGATTGGGTATGGAAAAAGCTGCTAAGCTTGTGTTTCTATTTTAAAGCAATTAATTAGCAGAAAATTATTCGATTTGATGTTGATGATTAATTTTAATGCTGCACACAGGAGAAAATTTTTTTAGTTTTAATTGATAATTATGTTTATTGATTTGTTTTGTGCACTGTAGCATTACCTGTTTTTTTTATTTTCATTATACACTTTGAGTCATAAATTCTATAAATACATAGCTTTACAAAATTTAATTAGTTTTGTTTTGAAATGACAAAAATAGTTTTTAAATAAACTTTTATTATTCAAAAATCAAACATAAAAGAAAAACTTGATTTAAATCATGTCATCCAAAAAAATCTTTTGATTTTATTCACTGATTTAAATCGATGTGATTAAAATCAGCCAACCCTAATGCAGTGTGTGCTTATTAACTAACTAGACACTCTAACTATAAAACCTACGCTCTCCCTTATCTCTAGTATTTTGTTAGATTTAATACTTTTCCTAGTCCATTTCTAAAATATCATGCCCGATGTTTTGAGGTATCATTTGCAGGGAGTAGCTTCATTTTATTACTCCAGGTCAGGTCAGGTTCAGGATCACCACGATCACCCTGCAACTGGTATTATGTAACCCAGTACTACCTGCCTCATGCCCTGCTACCTTGTAGAGTGTGCTATATTAGGTAAATGCTCCAACTTAAAAATTCCTTCACTTTACTCAACCAAGAGCATTGGGGCTCTTGGTTGAGTAAAGGCTAGAGATGGTGTCTTAATAAAAATACTCATCTTGAGTAGATGTTAACTGCATCCAGCTACTGTCTTGTAGACGGCCTCCTAGGCAAAGACTTTAGGGGTAAGCAGAATAATTATGCAAACCAACTTAAAACTCCTTCTTCATCTATTAGGCTGGCATAGATACAAACCTGTGTTACAGTGTTTCCTACCTAGTATGATGAATGCTGGATCTTCTTGATTCTTCTCATAGGATTTTGCTTGTACCTCCTTGGTAGTGGCTTTGCAACTCTTCCTGTTGTCTCCTAATGAGGGTACAGTTCTAAAACTCAGGCAGCTTGATTTCATTAAGAGCTTCAATATTTCAGAGTATTAACAGTGCCATGTTGTGCATGGATAGTGTCTCTGTTAATGCTTGTTGATGCCACATAAAGAGCGTTATGTTACATCTTAGGGTTAATTAACAGGACTGAGACGATTGCATAGCTCATTACTTAGGAGGCGGTGCTCTATCTATGAATGAGTCAAGTTGTCTTTAAACTTAAATCATGTCAATAGTAACCTAAAATATTAAACATAAAAAACTATTCCCACCAACTAACTATTTTAATATAAAATATATATAAAATAATAATAATAATAACAATAATAATAACAATAATAATAACAATAATAATAACAATAATAATAGTAATAACAACTTTATAGTTATTGGAAGCTTTATAGATGAAGAAGGTTTCAAGACAATTTATTTTTAAGGGTTGGAACAACTTGATAGTAAGTATTAAAATGTTTAAGGGTTTTAGTTTTGGAGCTTGTATGTTTAATTTTGAATAAATGTTTTATTTAAACTCAAACTTTTTTTTTGTTTTTATGTATATATATATATAAAACATTTTGTAGAATTTATAACTAATTTTTACTAATATTCATGGTATGCGAAGCAACCTTCCGTCAGTTGAATCTTACCTTTTTCAAAATTAACCAAATTCGCTTGCTTATAGTGAGACCTTAAATTCTGCTATTTCTTCTTCTGATC